GCACAGACTTCCATCAGTTTAAGCTGGCTGTGAGCCTGCACTCTCTAGCGGATGGAGTGAATCATCTGGTCACAGTGCCTCTCATGATCTGTCAACTGGTGAACGCATCTACACAATCAGCTTACACAAGATCCCTAGCTTTAAGGTTGCTGAATTGTGCTAAGATAAATTATCCCACCAATTTAGGAATATTTTCATGCAAGCAGACATCCTGGGAGGACCAGAGTCTTTGAATGGATAGAAATGCTTCCATCTTCATTTCCCCAAGGCACGGTAAAAATTTGAGAGTTAGTGTTGGTAAGTCACTCGGGCACTGAAAAGTCCAGAAGGAAATCAGTCATTTTCTTGCTAAAGATCACTTTGAACAGGATCTGATGAGTAAGTCACGTCATGTAAATGCAAACGCATGGTTCTGATGTGGTGGATAAAGCAAAATACAGAAAAGCTATTTTAAGTACACACCATGCTGTGTTTGAACTGCATGAGATAGGATCCTGCAGTAAAAAAATAGCGTGCAATGAAGTGGGTCTTGGTCAGCGTGCATATGCTCAACAGTGAAAATACATTTAGATGTGTAATGCATAACAGATTTGTCAGTTCTTTGACAGTTTTGATCCATGCTTTGTATATGGTTGACATATGTTTGATATTTATGTGTGTGTATATGTATGTGTATATGTGTCGTCATAAAGTACTGTGCTGTTGGGTTAAAGAAGTAAACCAGCCTTCACTGAGAAACAAAGAAGAACATCACGTGCCAAGACTTTTTTCTCCTAGACCAGTACCTTGAAATAGTGTTTATGACAATTTCCTCTTAATGTTGGTGGGTCCGTTCTATAGATACATGGATACGCACACAGCTCACTGTCTTTTGAAAGGCAATGTATAGTCACTGAGTGCTTGGAATGACCCAGGGCTTGTACGCCCACACCAGTAAAATAATTAAAGAATTACTGGTATAAAGTGTGTTGTGAACAATGGAGAAATAATACATGTTATTTTTTCTTGTTCAAGGTGTTCATCTTTACTACGTCGGTGGGGAAGTTTATGCTGAATGTGTCAGTGACAGCAGTATTTTTGTGCAAAGCCGCAACTGTAACTACCAGCATGGTTTCCACCCAGCCACTGTCTGCAAGATCCCCAGTGGCTGCAGCCTCAAGATCTTCAACAACCAGCTCTTTGCCCAGCTGCTTGCCCAGTCAGTCAATCACGGTTTTGAAGTGGTGTATGAGCTGACCAAGATGTGTACTATTCGAATGAGCTTTGTTAAAGTAAGGATTCTTTGTTTTCTCTTGCATTTCTGAAAAGGCAAATCCTATCACTTGCTAACTTTGGTGCAAAACTAGACCACATCAAATCCTTCCCAAGTTGGACACCCAACTTGCAAATAGCAATTCAGACTGCCTGTTTTCCAGTATTGCCTTAAACTTCTAGGTGCTTAAAATCAGTAGCTTTTGTGGTCAACCTGGAAATTTTTTAGATTCCAAAAATGAGGTATTCCATAGGCTTTTTGTGCAAAATAAGCAGAGATTGAATGATGTTCCCCCATTGATTGCATAAAGAGCTCAACTTACAGGGGCTTAGCAACATGTAAATGTTGTAGCACATATCTTAGGCAGTTGTGATCTCTCCTGTCGTTACTGGTTTGCAATAGAGCTTGGTAGAGCCATAGATCTGAAAAGAATGTCCTTATGTCTCTAGACTAATTTGCAGTCTTGGCATTACTATAGACTGGTATGTATGGTCTCAGTCAAGAAACAGTGGGTCCTCCTTCAGCCCCCACTGAGCTTGCTGGGAACTGTTGTTTGCCACCTGTCTGATCCCTGGCAAGAGATTGTCTTAATTTCTGATGACATTCACTCTGGCCAGCCACACTACCAGAAGGGCTTCTTGCAAGCAGAATACAAAACCCAGAAGAACATCTGACCTTCCCCCTGGTATTTGGAAGAGACAGGAGGCCAGCAAAGCCATTACTGTTTCCATGTCTTTCATATCTGAACTTTGCAGTCTGACTTCTCTGTGTGCGATGTATCAGTCTTGGTGGGAGTTTCTTAAATCTTCTGAATGGCCTTCTCACCAGAATGGGATCTTTTGACTCCTTTTAGCACTTAGGATTTACTTAGGTGCCTAATGTAGCATCTAAACCCCAGAGAATGGTATTTCAAGACTGTTTACAGATGTGCTAGACTGACTTCCTATAGTGCTGCTGGGGAGAGCTGACAGCAATGTTCAGCCTGCAGACTAGAGAAGTGACACCATTAGGAGCAAGTTGGTCCTGCTAGGTACCAGAAGAAGTGTCTTGAGTATGTCCCTTTGTCTTCCAGATTTGGTTCTATACAAATGACTGAATCGAGCTGATTGAATTCACATCTAAGATACTACAAAACTGCTTGAGGCTGGAGCCCACTTCCCCTATGTTCTGCAAAGCAGATGAGTTGAGTCCCACGCAGCCTTCTGGTTCTGACTCTTTCCAGCCATCCTTGGGGACCCATCTCCTTAACACTCTGAGAGCACTATGAGTGCCCTGTAACTTTTCCTGAGTCCAAGCCAAAATCTCTCTGCCCATGACCATACCGTTGCTTTTTTTCTTGGGAAGGAACCGACATCTTGTTCACATGCAAGCATTAGGGGAAAAAAAGAAAGCAAGAAACCCAACAAACAGCATTTTCTTTAATGGAAGACATGAATGGGCATGTTGTTTGTAAAGGCAGTGTAGCCAGTTACGCAATGTTTTCATTATCTCAGCAACTCGGGAGCAGTCTCTTTGATGTGTTATCTGCCTCTATGCCCAGCATGGCAGCAGAAACGGTTGTGTTGATGCACTAAATAATGCTGCTGCCATATTATCACCTTGCTTTGTTGAAACAATAGCAGCCACTATAGTGCTTCAGGCACCAGAAGACCAGTGCAAGGAGTTATTTTGAACCCTTTCCCATGACCTTCGGAAAATGGCTATGCAAATCTCATCTAGGTTCTTCCTTCCTGGCATGTAAAAACCCTTTCCTGTACTCAGTCTTCTCAATTTATTTCTCTCCCAAGGTGTGAGCCCCAGCGTGTTCAGTCTGGGGATAGGAATGCCCCTGGGTATTAGGTATGTAGTGCGCAGAGGAGCATGTTGTCTGTCAGAGCCACACACCAAGAGCCCCCAGGTGCAGAGCAGTCCTTTGGCTTCTCCCCTATTTGTGACCAGATGCTGCTGGTCACCTGCAGCCCACAGGGCAAGCAGAGCCAAAAGGCTGGAGACCCTGCCTCCTACACCACCAGTGCTTGAGCTACCAGCTGGGAGACAGAGATGGGTAGGGACCAAGACATGAGAAACTTGCCACGACTGTATCCTCTTCTGGAGGCAGGACATGGGACAGAGGGAGGTGAAGGTCCTGTCCCCTCTGATACCCTTCGTGTGTCTGAAGGGTATCAGAGGGGACTCAACCCTCATGCAAACATGAGTGTATCATCAGTGAGAACAGACAGCAATTTCCATCCACTGAGCGCTGCTGATAACCAAAGCAGGATGGCTGTTGTCCCCTCTCCACAGATGAGACAGCTGAAGCACAAAGTGGAGAGACGTAGAGTTTCTCCAAGCCAAGGTCTGAACCCAGTGCCCTCCCTCCCACATTTCCCCCGGTCTTGGGGCTAAGGGGACAACCCAACACACTTGGCCGTGCTCCCCAGCACGAGGCAGCTCAGCACTCTGGGACGTGGCTGGACCCTGGGCCGGAGGGAGCTGTTGCCCACAGGAGGTGGGAAGGGCTGGCAGGAGCAGCAGGGCCCCTCGGCTGATCTCCCCCATGCCAGAAGGCGCATTTCTGGTCTCCTTGTGAGGGTATCGGTATCCTCTTCCCACCATCTGCTCAAAACACGACCACAGCTTTGCAAGTTGTTGTCATTTTATTCTCTTGTTAAGAGACCTCCACCTCCGGGTTCATTTCAGCCGCGAGGAGGCTACCTGCAGCCCAAGAGAGATGTACGGGAGGCACAGGGGGTCCTGCCCTCCTGGCATTTCCCCTGCTGGGAGCTCCAGCCAGCAGCCTGAGGCAGCAGCCCTGTGTGTGGGAGTTGCCAGCAGAGGGAGATGGCCAGCCACTTGCACGCGCTGCCAGACACCTCCAAATCGGGCAAGTTGCGCTTGCAACCTGTAATTCCTATTCCTCCGGATTTTCCGTCCTACCAGTCAGCAGAGGTGCACCGACTTCTCTGACACTTGCCCTTCTAGCCGTTTATCTTCACTGCAGCTGGGTACTTAAGACTTCACAAACCCAGAAGCCTGACTGCACTGATTTAAAGAGTGGCATTTTTTGCCAGTGTTTCCAGAACATAAATCTGAGGTGCCTGTGAACACACCCCCTTTCTAGCCTGATAAATGCTCTGCAGGTCAGAAAAATGGTGCCTGATTAAAAGCAGTCTTTGAGCTTTGGTGGGTCCATATCTTACTCTTCTGCTTTCTTCATCCTTTTTTTCATTAATTAGAAATAGATTTTATCCAGGCCACTTATTATGGCATCTAGTTTTGGTATTGATCCTACTTTTGCAGCTGATCGTCTAGAGAAGTGGGTTCTAGCACCCTCAGTTGTCTGAGTTGTTCAGCACTCTACAATTTCGGTACCTTTGGCAGGCATCAATCTTAACATACCTCCATGTGTGGTGGTTTAACCTCAGTTGGCAGCTGAGCACCACACAGCCGCTCGCTCACTCCCCCCCGGCCTGGGTGGGATGGGGGAGAGACGCGGAAGAGTGAAAGTGAGAAAACTTGTGGGTTGAGATAAGACCAGTTTAATAATTGAAATATAATAATAATAATAGTAATAATAATAATAATAATATACAAAGCAAATGATGCACAATGCAATCGCTCACCACCCGCTGACCAGCCAGTCCCCAGGCAGCGGCCCCCCAGCCAGCTTTCCCGCAGTTTATGTACTGAGCATGATGTCACATGGTATGGAATATCCCTTTGGCCAGTTTGGGTCAGCTGTCCTGGCTGTGCCCCCTCCCAGCTTCTTGTGCACCTCCAGCCTTCTCAGTCAGTAGAGCACGGGAAGATGAAAAGTCCCTGACTAGTGTAAGCACGACTTAGCAACAACTAAAACATCGGTGTGTTATCAACATTATTCTCATCCTAAATCCAAAACACAGCACTGTACCAGCTACTAGGAAGAAAATTAACTCCATCTCAGCCGAAACCAGGACACCATGTCCTATTTTCATGACAAGAGTATCAGCCTGCCTGACTAGCATAATGATAGGTAAGGCTCAGGTTCTCTGATCAGCGGCCCACAAATGAATAGCATCATCCTGCAGTGGGACCACGTTTTGCACGTTGCCCTATGGAAATCCAAGTTCAGTTCTGGCAGTGAGACAGCCAGTTAGCTGTGAGACTTTGGGCTGTGACTTGGATGGCTTGTGTTGCTTTGAAATCAGGCTGCCTGCTTAACAAGCAGACACTGTGCCTGCTTGAGGCGTGGCGACTTCTGGTTCTCCTTTCTCCATGCCAGCACTGCATCCCCATCTTCCGTCAGACGCTCCATATCCCATATCTCCCCAAAAGAGCTGGAGAAATTACTGCAGGACTTACCACAGCAGACAGCTGGGAACTCCCGTGGGAAAAGAGGACATGTTCAAGGATAGAAAACCCATGGAAAGTGTCTATACGTAGGTTAAGTTTAAGGTAAAGGGGACATGAGGAACCTTGCTGGAAGTTTCCAGAGGTTCAGATAAATACCTAGAACTTCTAGAGTCTCAGACTCGTAGGATGCATCTCTACCAATAAATGAAGCAGTGCCCAAGATCATTCCCAGTTCCTGTTAAAGTGTTATGACAGGGCCTGGCCTGCTTTTCATCTGTGCCAGACAGAAGTCTGGCAGACTTTCCTGGGCACGTCTCTGGGGTGTGAACAGCAGGGACCATTCCCCATGGGCTGTTTGCAGGCAGCCAAGCTTGGAAACAGGCCTTTCCATGACAGTTGATCTCAGCACCTGGAATTGTGACTGAGCATTTTTAATTTAATAGTATAGAGTCCCTGATAACTATGATAACAATGACCTTAAAAAGGAGCAGAGTTTCTACAGAAAATTATCCCTAGGACAAAGCATTAAATCTTGGGAACCTGGGTGATGGACTATATGTAGTTGTGTTAGACTGTCAGCACTGGAGTTGTGATTTCATGTTTGGTTTTTTTTAAAAACTCACTTTTCGGTCCTTTGATGCTTTTATAGGGCTGGGGAGCAGAGTATCATCGCCAGGATGTTACAAGCACACCCTGCTGGATTGAGATCCACCTGCATGGACCGTTGCAATGGCTGGATAAGGTGCTGACACAGATGGGCTCACCTCATAACCCCATCTCCTCAGTCTCTTAAGGATCATCTCTAGAATTCCCTTAGGGTGGATGCTATTGCAGGCAGTGGCTTATAGGATTTCCAGTGAACAGAAGCTTCTATATGTAGATGTATGTAGATGTAAATATATCTATACATAGTCTACTTTCCTTTTTTTTTTCCTGCTATGTTTTGTGGTTTCTAGTTACTCTGATGCCAGTACAATAAGTTTAGAAATTCAGGTATAGCGTGTCTGTTCTCTAGTACAAAATAAGCCAAATTCCTGCAAAAGTGTCAAACATCTCCTGTGAGCATCTTCATTCCCCAGCCAAGCCAGTAACGGTGCGAATTCTCAGCACTTTCATGTGGATTCAGAAACCTGGCTGTAGCTGTTCCTAGTAGGTGAAATTCACCCCTCGGCAGGCAACCAAAGTCAGATCTCTGCACCGTTTATATCCATTTTACATCCTAATTTCAGGTCTAAAAGAGGACCTTAGGTGGTGCACAGGACTTATGCATAGAGATGACTTTTATCCAGTGAACTGAAGGACTAAACTGCAATTCCAGTCTGTCTCCCTACTGCAAAGCATGATGGGACAACAGATCCTCTGAGGAGCTGAGGCACCCCTGTCTCCCCTAGGATTTGGCAGGAGGAGAGAGCCCTCAGGACACGTTCAGCACTGGAGCCTTATCAGAGCATTCTGGACACATCTGAGTAGTCTGATGCTGTTAACACAGTAGCGTACGGTACTGCTGCACTGAAAAGCAACAAGCTCCTAAAAAAAAAAAAAAGGAAAATTTGAAATATATGCCTATAAGTTTAAAAACTAATTAACTTCCAGTGCTTTTTTGCAAAGTACATGCATACTTGCATATGTATCTGGCATGTAAACTGAATCCTATCCATTATACAGTATTGATGTAGTTTGTTTTAAAGTTAGGACTGTCTGTAGTTAGACTACTGTGCTGATATCAAGGGTACGTCTAAAAGGGACTTGAACTGTGATTCAGAAAAGGGAAATGAAGTGTGCATTGAAGAACCAAATAATTACTTTATCATTCATTTTGGGATAGTCTCTGTACTGAGAACAGGAAGCCCCACGCTCACAGGATGCAATGAGACGGAGGTGGGAGTCAGCCACATCCATCCCCTGTGCTGGGCCGGTCCTCGGGATCTGACTGCAACGCTCAGGTTTGACAGAGAGCGCTTCCCTGCCGGTCACTTCGTACATCCCCATGGATGGTTTCTCATCTTAGATACAGGCTTCATCATTTGCAGTGCTTTTGCCTCGCCTGCAGAGGATGGTGAGGCAGTGTAAGCCATGAACAAGCAAAGAGTGAATCTATGTGCAGAACCTTTTTTTAAAAGCTCCTTGTCTGTGGTCCTTCTGTAAGCAGGGAAATCTATCGCCCGTACTCTCATCCACAGAGCCAGCCTTACAAAATGCTGTTCACTTGGTAACCTTTTCTGAGGAGGCATGTGAAACTCTTACAACATTTTGATGGTCCCCATTACCTTGCTGAAAGGGTAAAGGATTATTTCTTTCCAGGCATAACAGTCCACTGAAAATTGTTTTGCTTTAAGGGTCAGAAAGAGTGGTAACTTCTCCAATCTCATTCCTCCTTAGAACACACCGGAAGTATCCTGCGGGGAAAAAAAAAGTTTTGCAGAATATTTCTTTTCTTCTCACACAGTATCTGGTGCTACACATTTTACTGCATAATTAGAAGAGGATGCCTGATATCTTCAGCTACATCAGCTACATCACATATGCAAATCAAATAACATTCACTGGAAAGACTTTCCATGTGTTTTAGATGCTACCTGTTATAGGCTGGTAATTATGAATGGAGCAGAAGAATCAGTAAACTAGCAGGATTACTTCATTTGAATGCATCTTCAGCTGCCTGCAGAATTTGTCGGGCACAGAAGGATAAATTATTGTTAAGTTTGAGCAGTAATAGCAAGTTGTATAGGAAATCTGTAAATGCAAAGAACCCTATTCTGTCACCATTTGATGTCAGCAGTGTCACTGTGGGATAGGAAAAGCTTTACAGTCTCCTGCAGCAATGCAATCCAATAATAATGTTACACAGAAATTGCAGGCGTGCCATTTACTGTTTAGCAGACTTGAGAGAGAGCAGTTTGGAAGAAGACATTTTCCTCAGCTTCCTCTGTCATCAGTGTCACTGTACTGAGGTACTGGTAACACGGTTTTTAGCATGTTTATTGCACCCTTTCTCCAGTAATTTCTCTGTGCTTTTCATGTTGCTCATCCCTTTGCTTTCTTAGCAGCTAAGGACAGAGAAAATCACCTCTCCTGTCCAGGATATAGCTCTGTCCTTTATCCTAGATTCTTCCTTGCTTTTTAGGCTGAAACCTCCTTCCCTCCTAATATAGAGAGAAGCCTAGGTGTTGCTTTTAGACATTCCCAGCATTGTCATCTTCCTCGCAGAGAGAAAAGGCAGATGTTCTGGGGTGCATCTGCTCTTGGGCAGC